GATCCCAGGAAAAAGAATTAGTAGGACAGAAAAGAAAACTCCAATGAAAGTCAACAAAGGAACACAGGGTGCAGGGAAAATTGTAATACTTCATCCAGTTCTTCTCCATTCCTTGTGAATAAAGTAATTGGACTGGAATAAAAGAGAAGAGGGATTTTGAGTATCTTCCTACAACTTCCTGCTGGGGATAGTGAGGAGTGGATGTGCAAGGACATAAGACCATCTTCTTCATCTACCTTTGGGGCTTTACAAGTGAGTGATGTGTTCCAGCAGGGAACTTGGATAGTGGGAGACTGGGTGAGTGGTCACGGAGTGAAACCCTTTTGGTATTGACTGTGGTGAGCTTGTTAAATCTTTGAATTCAATAATCACCTTGAGTTGAGGCTTAACAGGAAGACAGCTGCCAGCAGACAGGGCTGGAGAAAGGAGAATCAATGAGTGAGAAGAGAGCAATGCCCGTCACTTAGCCTTCGTTTTTCCCAATTTTTGAATGGGATATTCGCCGATGTTCACCATCATCGGCATCCTCTCAGACACACATACACACCCACACACACGCTGATGGGTTCACACCTCCGACACTAAAAAACTGAACAAAACCCAACATCCACATGTCTGTAGTGTGCAGCACACGCACACACACACACACTCACCGTGTGACACTGATATGCTCGTCTCTGTTGTCGCTTACCAGTTTGTTTTTCTATTTTTGAGACGTTGTCTTGCTCTGTCGCTCAGGCTGGAGTCTATTGGCGTGATCTCGGCTCACTGCAAGCTCCGCCTCCCGGGTTCACGTCATTCTCCTGCCTCAGCCTCCCGAGTCGCTGGGACTACAGGCGCCGCCACCTCGCCCAGCTAGTTTTTCGTATTTTTACTAGAGACGGGGTTTCACCGTGTTTGCCAGGATGGTCTCGATCTCCTGACCTCGTGAGCCGCCCGCCTTGGCCTCCCAAAGTGCTGGGATTACAGGCGTGAGCCACCGCGCCCGGCCCCACCAAGCCCTCATTCTTGAAGTGAAATAAAGGAAAAAGCTTAAATAGCATGAAAGCGAATGAGTCATAATAAAAGAGCTAATCTCTATTGAGAGCTTTCTCATAACCAAGGCTTTCCTAAGAGCTTTCCATGAATTAACTCATTTACTATGTATAACAACCTTACTATTGACAGCCTGCCTTCGGATTCCAGCTTCGTGACCCCAGGCTTTGTGACTTGGAGCCACTTCACTTCTTTTGGCCTCAGTCCCTTCAATTATAAAATAGGAAAAGTAATCATACCCGTTTCTTACCATATTTTGGCACTGGGCTGTGCTGTATACGTGTGTGCTCTTATTTAAGCTCATGGTAGTCCCGTGAGGTGCAGAGATGGAAGAGATGAAAGCTTGAAGGCTTGAGTTTCTGACAAAAGTTTAAAGGCCTCGAGTAACATCCCACAGCTAGTAAGTGGTGAGTGTAGTACCCCACCCTCGGTATACTTGAGCCAGAGCGTGCACACTCTCAGCCACGAAGCATTCGCCTGAATGGAGGCTGAAATGGCCTGCTGTCTGCAGTGAGGCCACAGGAAATGCTCGTGGAACCTGGTCTCCATGAGATATCTATCAGGAACTCTTCACAGCACCAGAAGTGAAGGAAATTCTCATTTTTATTTTGATATAAGCAAGTATGTACATTTTGACACAATGAGAAATGTTTAGGAATTTTGACTTAAAAAATTCTTTCTGGCAGGATTCTTTAGCCACTGAAATTATAAGTGGTACTTACAGTTGTGTATATCTGACTCCCATCTGGGGGGACTACAACCAACTACTAACTACTGACAGCAAAAGAAAGACTTGGAAATATGATTTTACATCTGCATTTTTTATTTTGTATTTAGCTCTTTGTCTTATAATGTTTGTGTAACTGTAGCTCTCTCTCTCTCTCACTGACAGGGTAATGTCTTTAAAATCCCACTACACAAAGTACTGGCTTCGTGAAAAGGATCTGACGTATTTTGTCCTGCTTTGATTGGTTTTAACATCATGTAGATAGTGAGTAACAAACTCATTAAACCGCTTCCATTCTTGTCTTAGGGGACAATGTGGTGCTCTCCCCTTTTACATGTTGCTTCTCTTACCAGCTTCACCAGCTTTGTCTACTAACCCCATGCCTGGGGAAAGAATTCGGGCACCACGTTGTCTGCAGCATGAATCCTGCCAGGCTGTGGCTGTCACCACGGTTACTGGACACTCCTCCCTGAGCAGGACCCACCTGGGAGGCATCTCAACCTTGTCCTCAGTGCCTGCTGGGCCCTGTGTGCACATTCAGGTAGTGAGAGGAGCTGCGGAGCAAGCGGAGTAAGTGAGTGCGGTCACTCCAACGACAGGCTAACCCGGGAGAGGTCTGGTTTCACGTTCACATGGGAAATATTTGGTTGAATGGAATTGACGGAAAGGTAGGAATAGAGTTTCTCATTCCCTCATGGATAGAAAGAAATGCACAAACCACGTATCTGTTGGGTTGTATGGAATTGCTCTGACTGGTTTATTACCACTATTCATGCAGCATTTTCTTTGAAAGGGAATGCTGGGCGCAGTGGCTCATGCCTGTAATCCCAGCACTTTGGGAGGCTGAGGCAGGCGGATCACCTGAGGTCAGGAGTTCAAGACCAGTCTGGCCAACATGCGGAAACCCCGTCTCTACTACAAATAATAATAATGATAATAAATTAGCCAGGCATGGTGGCGGGAGCCTGTAATCCCAGCTACTGGGAGGCTGAGGCAGGAGAATTGCTTGAACTCAGGAGGTGGAGGTTGCTGTGAGCCGAGATTGTGCCGCTGCACTCCAGCCTGGGCAACAGAGCAACACTCCGTCTCAAAAATAAATAAATACATAAATACATAAGAAAAAAGGAAAGGGAATGCAGGTGTGAAAGCTTCGGGTTGGTCACCCAGCAAAATTAAACTGAAAAGTCCCCAAGCTCTTTGAACCAACTGCAAGGTTGTCAGCTTGTAGCCTGAAGTCCTCAGGATCTATCCCATTACTTCATATCTCAAAAAGTCTTAACATGTGTTTTCCACAGTGATGGCCTCTCCTTGGCCACCATATCACTCTCTCTTCAGGGTAAAAAGGTTGTGTCATGCAGCTTGAAACCTGGACACATAGATGGTTACTTTGGCAGTGTTCTTATATAAACAGAAGAAGACAGCTGATAACATGAGTGACTTCCTGTGTCATCTCGTTTTTCTCGGGCGCTTGCTTCCCTGAGATTATTTATGTTTGCTGTATTAGTCCGTGGCAACCGCTTAACACAGCTGCACCAAATGTCGTTCCCAGAAAGACCAGTTGCTTAGTCTCCTTGCCTCCATTCTATTTTGGGAGTGGCATGGACTTTTGGCGACGCCCAGTTGAGCTCTTGCCCATATCAAGTTATGAGCGGCGGCTTGTAAGAGAGTTTGCCCCTTGGCCTTGGTCTTTAGGAGAAAAAAATTCTCCTCACTTACCCACATGCCATCATTATTCATATTTAAATTTTAAAAGATTAAAAACAAGAAACATTTTTTTTCTGCACTAAGAAATCTAAAGTTTTAAAAATCTCTAATAATGAACTGAGGTAATACCTGCATTGATAAAATTGAAATAGTATAGAAAAACATAACTGATAAACTGATAAAATATAACTGATAAACAGCTGCCTCCATTTCACACTTCCTCACCTTAACAGCTCCTAGATCATCTCAGAAAACATTTCTATTTTTATTCCTGTTGGTTGCCTACAGAACTCTAAATAATATAATTTCACATCTCTTCTTTGACCTTTTTAAAAGTCGGCTCCCCCCTTTTTTTTTTTTTTATGGAGTCTCACTCTGTCACCCACACTGGACAGCAGTGGAGCCATCTCAGCTCACTGCAAGCTCTGCCTCCTGGGTTCACGCCATTCTCCTGTCTCGGCCTCCCAAGTAGCTGGGACTACAGGCGCCCGCCACCATGCCTGGCTAATTTTTTTTTTTTTTTTTTGTACTTTTAGTAGAGGCGGGGTTTTACCATGTTAGCCAGGATGGTCTCAATCTCCTGACCTCGTGCTTCACCCACCTTGGCCTCCCAAAGTGCTTGGATTACAGGCATAAGCCACTGTGCCCAGACTATTAAATATTTTACACTGTGATTTAATCTCTCTTGATAAAGAAAATTCTAGACTCACATAGTTTTGGACTGGTACATTCTACACAAATTTTCCCATTGATCTTACAGAAAATAGAGGAGTAGTGAACACTTCTCAACTCATTTTGTGATTAAAGTATTACCCAGACACCAAATCCAGAAGACATGATGAACCAAGAAAACTGTTCACCAACATATGCTGTGAACATAGTGGCAAAGAAACCCTTATCAAAAATGTAGCCAAACACATCCACTCACGCAGGCAAATTAGAATAATTTTCTTTTTTTTTTTTTTTTTTGAGATGGAGTCTCACTCTGTCACCCAGGCTGGAGAGCAGTGGTGCGATCTGGGGTCACCACTGCAAGCTCCGCCTCCCAGGTTCACGCCATTCTCCTGCCTCAGCCTCCCGAGTAACTGGGACTACAGGCACCGCCACCACACCCAGCTAATTTTTTGTACTTTTAGTAGAGACGGGGTTTCACCATGTTAGCCAGGATTGTCTCGATCTCCTGACCTCATGATCTGCCTGCCTCAGCCTCCCAAAGTGCTGGGATTACAGGTGTGAGCCACCACGCCTGGCCTAAAAAAATCAGTTTTTTTTTTTTTTTTAACACAGCTTTTTTGATGGATAATGTACATATCATAAAACTCACTTAAGTGTGTAATGAATTTTAGTAAAGTTACAGAGTTGTACAAGCATCCCCACAGCCCAATTTTAGAGCATACCTATCACTTCAGAAGATCCCTCTTGGCCACTTGCAGTGATTTCACTCTTCAGTCCCAGCCACAGGCAATTTCTAATTTCTCTACTGGTTCTATAGATTTGCCTGTTGTAGACATTTAATACAAATGGAAATAACCAATCAAATTCAGACAATATTTATTGACCTTCTGATACAAAACATAAAGGTTTATCTTGCTTATAGAACTGCCTTTCCCCTTCTCCATTTTCCCCAATTTTTGGTAATTATATATTATTTTAAAAATTGCTATGTTGGCTTTTTTTTTTTTTTTTTTTTTTTTCCAGATGCAGTCTCACTCTGTTACCCAGGCTAGGATGCAGTGGTGTGATCCCAGCTCATTGCAACTTTCACCTCCCGGGTTCAAGCAATTCTTCTCCCTCAGCCTCCTGAGGAGCTGGAACTACAGACACACCCCACTGCACCCAGTTAATTTTTGTATTTTTAGTAGAGACAGGGTTTCGCCATGTTGGCCAGGCTGGTCGCAAACTCCTGGCCTCAAGTGATCCACCCACCTTAGCCTCCCAAAGTGCTGGGATTACAGGTGTGAGCCACCATACCCGGCCTATGTTGGCTATTTTTGTCATTTGAAGCAATATATTCCTTCTATTTATGTGTGTATGTTGTTCCATAGGCTTCTGTCAACGTCTTTTGACTCCCTTGGTCCATATAAAATGCCTTACAATCCTCCCTCTTTTCCCCTACCCTTTTTCACAGAATAACTGTGAATCACTGCTAGGACTTTATTGTTATGAAAGCCAATAATATATTATCTTTTATTCTACAACTACAATTAAGTCTTACATGTCTGTAGGTTGATTCTAAAAGTAGAAAACTAAGAGCAGTCTTTATGATTTTTGTCTACATTGCTCAATGTAGAGCCAGGGCCATGCTAGGATGCCATTTCCTTCCCTCTGTGTCCTGTGCATCTGCCATGGTGCTCCCGGGGCAACGCTACTCCCTTCATAGTAAAGCAGGCTCTTTTCCCGCATCCCTCATCAAATGCTGCATGTCACAGTAAGATAAGGGTCACACGTGAGCCATTTCTTTATACCTTGTTTTAGATGATTTTCCCTCTAGTTTTAGATTCGGAAAAGGATAAAAAAATCTTAGGAACTTTCATTGTGTCCTGAAATTTATCTGCCTTCCAATCACACTACTGTGTGAAGTCCTTCTTCCCCACAGTCCTTAATTGTTCTGAATTTAAGTGGATTTTTTCTGGGCTGAATGCACAAGCCTTCAGTCTGGGTCTTCTGTTCATTGGGTCCTGGAGCCAGTGCTAATCTCCAAAAAGTGTTCTTTCCTGGTTTCCATCTTCTTTGACTGGAGTATAACCTCCAGTAAACTCCTGGGGAGGGGAAGAAAGGTATGAGAGAGGTGAATTTCCGGTATCATATCAAATGTATTATTTTCTCTTTCATCATTTTTTGTTTGTCTACACCTATTATCGAACTTTCAAAATTGTTTTCCCTCTGAATTGGAGGGTATCACTTCAATGTTTTCTAACATTTTGTGCTGCTGATAAGAAAACTCTGCTGCAGTCTAGCTCCTATTCCTTAGCTGCTGGGCTGTTTTTTGCCTTTGGAAGATTTTTATGATCTTCCATTTATTGTTAGTTACTGTTCTGAAATTTCACAAAGATGCATTTCAGTCCTCTTTATTTTATCCTGCTTGGAATTCAATACCAAGACATAACATTTTTAGTTCTGAGAAAAGATTTTTAAAAATGATTTTACAAAAATCACACACAGACACACAAATGATTTCCCTTTCTTCATTTCTCTGCTCCCTTTTAAAAACTCCTGCTGGTCTAATATTAGATATCCTGAATTACTTCTTTCTTGTAGTTTTAAAAAAATATTTTCCTATCTCACTCAGTCTTTACTTTTTCACCTTGTATAAGTTATTTTTATCAACTTGAAAATAATTTCTTTGAAAGATTTTTTTTGGGGGGAAGCAATCATATTTTTCATTTCCAAAAAACTTTTCTGTTCTCTGATCTCTTTTCAAGACATTCTGTCCTGGTTTTTAGGTTTTAAATGAAAAATTACTTGAATCAGATGAATTATTTAAATTCTCCTTTGTCATCTCTAATGACTCAGTTCAATTTTCTTTTAAAGAATTCTTTTCTGGGGGGCTGGGGAGGTGGCTCACACCTGTAATCCCAGAACTTTGGGAAGCCATGGTGGGCAGATCACCTGAGGTCAGGAGTTTGAGACCAGCTTGGCCAACATGGCAAAACCCCATCTCTACTAAAAATACAAAAATTAGCTGGGTGTGGTGGCAGGCACCTGTAATCTCAGCTGCTTGGGAGGCTAAGGCAGGAGAATCACTTGAACCTGGGAGATGGAGATTGCAGTGAGCCGAAATCACACCATTGCACTCCAGCCTTGACATGAGACCAAGACTATGTCTCCAAAAAAGAAAAAGTCTCTTCTGTTATCTGAATATTTTTCTTTTTTTTTTTTTTTTTCTTCTTCTTCTCTTCAAGGTCACTTGCTCTGTTTACTTTCTTTTTTCTGTTTTTTGTTTTTGTTTTTGTTTTTTTTTTGAGATGGAATCTCACTCCCGTCACACAGGCTGGAGTGCAGTGGCACAATCTTGGCTCACTGCAACCTCCACCCTCCTGGGTTCAAGCGATTCTCCTGCCTCAGCCTCCTGAGTATCTGGGATTACAGGCATGCGCCACCACACCTGGCTAATTTTTGTATTTTCAGTAGAGATTTGGTTTTGCTATGTTGGTCAGGCTGGTCTCAAACTCCTGACCTCAGGTGATCCACCTGCCTTGGCCTCCCAAAGTGCTGGGATTACAGAAGTGAGCCACTACACTCCACCTGACTTTTTTCTGAATTTGTTAATTTGTTTGCTGATCCTTTGTTTTGTTTTTCAAGGTCTTAAAAACTTTTCTTTTGAGCTATTGACAGCTTTAACAATTTAGTACACTCCTGTGAACAAAATTTGGAGCACATTTGTTTCTCTCTACCTGATTTCCCCAGAACTGTAAACTACTTGTGAGTATTCTTAACTTAGGACAACACAGTTATTTGCATAAGTGCAATAAGAATCTGTTTTCATTTGTAACAGGATGCAATTGGAGAAATTGGTTGTTTTACCAAGGCTTTGACTGGAATGATGTGCTTTCCTTTAAGGAATCAAACTTGACTTATAGAGCCAATAAGACCTTGGAAAAACTAGCATCATATTTTGTGTACACAGTCCCTATAGAGGGTTTCTGACCCATGGTAAGTAAAGAATGTCACTTACTGACAGGCACAGAAGTCTCAGGTTTATCTTGAAACCTGGAGAAGAGAAAATTTCACCCAACTCATGGGTATTTGATGGCACAATCCATGGCTGGGCTGGGCTTTAAGAAGTCCTATCTGAGATTCCCCTTATGGAACAAAGTTCCATCAAAGCCAATTTAAAAGCCTATGTAAAAATAATAATTACTCTTGCTGCACTGCATACAAATATTTAGGCCAAGTATAATAAGCAAACCAGCCCTACCATGATTTGTCTTTAGTAAAATGGGGAACTGGAGAGAGAAAAAAATTATTTCAAAATAATTGTATATCTGTTATTAGATTCTAGTCTTGCCTAATGTTTTTTTCCAATTTTTATTATTTTCTACGGTTTGGAACAAATTCTAATTTTTCTTGGCTACAAGTCTTCAAAATAATGTTTTCAATTTTTTTCCATCTCTTTTTCATTTTTCCTAATTTGAAGTCACTGAAAACTAAGTCGTGCTTCTTTAAAACCCTGCGAGCTGAAGACAGACAACTTAAACTCTGGAAGAAAATAACAGTAACCTGTTTACACACATAAGACCCTTTCACACCTGCCTACTAATGTATGGACTTCAGAGTAATGTGGCCCATATCAATTATTATTATTATTATTTTTTGAGACAGGGTATCACTCTGTCACCCAGGCTGGAGTGCAGTGGTGTGATCTTGGCTCACTGAAACCTCCACCTCATGGGTTCAAGTGATTCTCCTTCCTCAGTCTCCCGAGTAACTGGGATTACAGGCACATGCCACCACACCCAGCTAATTTTGTAGTTTTAGTAGAGCCAGAGTTACATCATGTTGGCCAGGCTGGTCTCAAACTCCTGACCTCAAGTGATTCACCCGCCTTGGCCTCCCAAAGTGCTAGGATTACAGGCATGAGCCACCACTCGTGGCCTGGATTGCTATTTTGTGTGTGTGTGTTTTCCCCTTCCTCCCCTCTATTTTCTCTTCACAGGACTCAAGATTTCGAAACCTGCTAAATGAGCTTTCCAGACCTACCCATCTAGGAATAAACCATCTCAGCCCTGAGAGATCTGATGAAACCTGAGACCAGAGATTCATTTTCTTGTAAAATGCTTTCTCCAAAGGACTTTGTAAAGAAAAGGGGGAAATGTGAAAGGAAAATACCTTGGGCTCTTTCAAGCTGGGAACCGCTCAGGGCAAATCGGCCTCCCATTCTCATTCTATTCAAGTCATCCCTTAGCTCACAGAGATAGATGCATATTCTGACTGCCTTCTTTGAAAAGACTTATCAGAAACTCTAAAGAATGCAACCACATCTGTCTCTTACCTGTTTGTGACCTGAAAGCCCCTGGGGAGGGTTGGGGCAGGAAACCTTGCTTTGAGCTGTCTCTGCCTTTCTGGACAGAACAATGTACTTCTTACATATCGATCGATGGTTCATGTCTCCCTAAAATGTATAAAACCAAGCTGTGCCCCAACCACCTTGGGAAAATATCATCAGGACTTCCTGAGGCTATGTCATGAGCACATCCTCAATCTTGGCAAAATAAACTTGCTAAATTAACTGAGACCTGTCTCAAATTTTCGAGATTCACACTCCTATGCAAGGAAGGAAGGCAAATGTTTCCTAATGCCACAGGAAATTAAAGCACAAAATGAAACTTGGACGCTTGGAAGAACAGTCTTTCTATGAGTTATTGTGACATGCTCCATAATTTATTGACAACAGAGTTGGTGATGATATTGATATTGCACTGTCAAAATTTATCACCAAACATCTTTACATTTGATAAAAGATTGTGAATTTTTGTTTTCTATCAGGAGAAGACAGCTTATCGGAAATTGTCATGGATCCAGAATCCATTTCTTTCATCAAAAGCTAATTTAAACTTAACTGTAATTTAACAGATAAATTATTGAATTTGACTACTAATGAATAGTTGAAGATGAATTTAGAAATACAGTATCATTTACATTACTTTGAATGAAAGTTTAAAAATGAATATTCTGAGCTTAATAAAATGTTTAAAAATCTCTTCTTCCACCTTATCAACATAATTCTGTGAGGCTAGTTTTGTACAGTGTAGGTTATAAAAACAAAACATTAAAACAGGTGACATGAGTAAAAATGGCAGATTAAGAACATCCAACATTTTGTTCCTTCATAAGACTAATGAAAAGACTGGCAAAGAAAAGCAGAATCCATTTGTTCAACTATCTTGGCATTAACCAAAGACTTTCAGCCATCCAGGGAGCATTAATTCAAGAAAAATATCTGAATCTTGGTAAGAACTGTAATCTTTATGACATTTTAAACTTACCTTAGTCCCATCTCCCACTCTTCAGCACAGCAATAGCCTAGAAAAATAACAGCTGTATTCCAGTACTGAAGGATCGGAACAGAGCTGGAGCTCTTTCAAAGCCTCAGTCCCAAAGAACTGACATTGTTTGATCTATCCTTAGAAGTCTCCACTGAAAAGGCACATTTTTACTTGATGTGGCTTGAACTTCCCAAGTGTAAAAAGTCTCTCCCAGGGGTTAAGTGGTATTTATTGAAAATAATTTTAGGCAAGTCTTTTAACTATGAGGCTGCATGAGATGAATGATAGGGCAAACAATAGACTAAGAAGATTAAAGGGAAAAGCTGAGGCATAAGATGTCTGTCGGAGCTTTGAAATGCTCTGACATACTCCTGAGAATTTGGAAGGTCATGGGCATACGTAGGCCTGTGGGCATTCTGAAGAAAGAGCTGAGAAGGCCTAAGCTCTCATTTCTTAGTGACCTTGAGGTTCTGCACAAGCAGAAAGTAAAGGCTAAAACAGCATTGTGAACTGCCTGGTGGAGTGTTAAAGGTATGACCCAACATCTATATAGTAACCCATGGCAAAGATTTAGAGGTTTATTGGTTCCAGCATTTAAGGAAATCTCTGTTCCATCATTAGATGTCCAATCACTAAGCTAATTGATACTCCCATGACCACATATAAAAACAATACATACTTTATAGAATTAGTTCAGAAAAGCCATGAAATAAATAAAAACAACATTTAACAGCAAGTGGCAATAACAAAATTGGGCAGGGAAGAATATGATT